TAAACTCTTACATTCATTGAAGATCTTCAATAAGGGTTTAATTCTCCCACCCCCGTTAAACTCTTACATTCATTGAAGATCTTCAATAAGGGTTTAATTCTCCCACCCCCGTTAAACTTCTACATTCATTGAAGATCTTCAATAAGGGTTTAATTCTCCCACCCCCGTTAAACTTCTTACATTCATTGAAGATCTTCAATAAGGGTTTAATTCTCCCACCCCCGTTAAACTCTTACATTCATTGAAGATCTTCAATAAGGGTTTAATTCTCCCACCCCCGTTAAACTCTACATTCATTGAAGATCTTCAATAAGGGTTTAATTCTCCCACCCCCGTTAAACTCTACATTCATTGAAGATCTTCAATAAGGGTTTAATTCTCCCACCCCCGTTAAACTTCTACATTCATTGAAGATCTTCAATAAGGGTTTAATTCTCCCACCCCCGTTAAACTCTTCCATTCATTGAAGATCTTCAATAAGGGTTTAATTCTCCCACCCCCGTTAAACTCTTCCATTCATTGAAGATCTTCAATCATCATCATCATCATCATCGTCATCATCATCATCATGAAATTTGCCGGGAACGTCCCTGTAAACTTCCGGGCAACACAAGGGGCCTGGCCGTATAATTATATATATATATATATACAGTATGGGTTGCTCAGTTGATGATATCCCTGGCCGCGCTGGCTCCTAGCCCCGACGTCGTGCCAGTGCCAGTTGCCGCAGTTGCCGATGCCGCCGCTCCAGTTGCAGAGGCAACGTCTGGAGGCGCCGCAGCAGCGGCCGCCATGGCAAGGTCGGTTGGCATGGCGATGTGAAGAAATCAGAGAAGACTCAGGAGACTTAGACAAAACCAGCGAAATGAAAACAATTCTTCGGACTTGGAATAAATGTTTGAGGTGCGGGAAGAGTGATGCGAGAATGGGATTAAGAGAAGTTTTTAGAGAATATTGCTGGGATTCTCAGGTGGGCTGGATCTGTTTCTGTTCAGAGACATGTTGCTGTTCTGTGAATCTTCCGACTGGCAGGACTCGACGCTTCCAACGAGAGGGAGCTGGTGGTCTCAAGGCCCCTGAAAAATCAGCTCGTCATCCCACATGAAACCACCAAAAAGATAACTATACTCGGAGAGTGACCCGGGATGGTATATGATCAGTCGTGACTTTGAAGCAACAAGATCTTCCAGTCGCGGGTCATGATACACCACTTCCAGTCTGGTGATCAGGGCATCCCAATCTCCGTGGATATCCAGGATCTTCATCGACCATGTCGTGTGGGAGCTTTCCATGAAAGCCATCGAACTTATGTCGAATGTAAAAAGTTGGCAAAGTTGTATCTAAGTAATGGGACAGTTCATCCATGTTCATCCTAAATATACAGAAATATGAAGATTAATATTAAGTATGTGTCCCACATCATATTCCCATTATTTCCCATTAGTGTGGGTAAAATTCCTTTCATAAACCATCCCTCAGTCATCACCATTTTTATAGGTGGCATGGTTACTATTCCCAATGGCGTCCCGACGCGGGCCCAGCGCCACGCAAGCTCCGATGCTCCAAGTGGCCATCTGCGGATCGAGCCAACCGCCATTGACCCACTAGGGAAATATTTCGGCACCATGGAGCATATATTGGGTTGATATATGGCTTAATATGGCTTAGATACCCGAAAATCTCAGGTTGTTGATCAAATTCTTTGCTGCTTTTGGTGAATATCTCCAAAAAAAATGCTGAAATCCAGGATTGTTTGGTGGAAGGTGGACGGATCTCGATGGCGTTAACGAGAATGGGATATGGTGATGGATACACCTTAAGATACAACCAGTAACTATGAATTCTAGGGAAGATATAATCCAAAATCATGGGATGTTGGGTCAAAAAGAAGCCTTCCAACCCCAAAGTACTTTGCATTGAGATTGATCCAGTTATATTATTGGCAAAGTATGAAACACCGCATTGTTTCAACAATGGTTTCACCCTACATCATTTGGCGCTTTGAAACCCTATCTGAAAATGTATTGTATAGTTAAGCAACAAAAAACACCCTCTCCAAATTCGAATACGGGTATATGATTATAAAGATGTAATATGGTGTAGTTATACACCCTCAATATATATATATACACACATGGAAGTATATATATATACATATGTTTATATATGGGTGTGTATATATATATACATATGGGTATATGTGTATGTATATATATATGGGTGTGTATATATATATGTGGGTGTATATATATACATATGGGTGCATATATATATATATGAGTGCATATATATATATATATATGGGTGTGTATGTGTATATATATATGGGTGTATATATATATAATTATGTATATATATATACATTGTATATATGGGTATGTGTACCTTTTATATAGTGAAGATGATGTTCCTATTGAACATGTCCAGCCGCCGAGCCGCAAAATCTCCCAGCGACGGGTCGAACGTAAAGGCCGACGCCACCAACACCGTAGCGTCGCTCTCAACGTGGTACGCTGCGTTCTTGGCTCGGCAGTAGCCTGGCCACGAAATAAGTTGGTAACCCCATCTATTAAATTATTTGTTGGTTCACCCTAGTGCCTAAGTGGGTCATAGTTATAACTAACCCCAGTTTCGTTTATGTAGGGTAAGTAAGGGTAACTAGGGTTACTTCACTTAGAATTGGGGTGAACTAACCCGCTTACTAACCATCTGACTATAGTTGTTTCATGACCCTAAACCTTGATTAAGCCAGACAAATGCACTAACATTGAACCAACTTAGCTAACTGTGGAGCAAGACTTTTGATTGATTGGTTCAAACAAATATGTGACAGGAAACTGTGGTTGTACCCCTAGAATATTAATGATTATTAAGGGTTTTCCCTACACATTTTCCCTTTGATCAATTCTAGAAATGCATTTAAAATTGATGGAAAAAATGTAGATTACATTGCTCATGCTGATCCCTATAGCAAGAAGCTGGTTTTGCACTAACTTTTCGTGTTCGATGTATATGATGTATGATATTATATACGGTTAAGCCCATTAATGGTATAGGTTTAATGGAATGCCTAGCTGTTTTAATACTACCATTTTGCATTGATATGATTTATATATGAACTGTAAAATGGGAGATCTACCCGACGTACCAAAAAAGACATGGCTGATCTATGGGGTAACGGGGTATATCGCGGGAAATCTATGCCAATTGCCAACGGTTTCATCTGGATCCATGGGCTGCCACATCATCCCTTCTCCCGTCGTGTGATTAAATACCCCAAAACAAACCCAAGACTGGTCGTAGTTATAGTTCATAGTTAATAATAGTTAATATCACAATAATAGTTAATAATAGTTAATTTTTAGGCTATACAATAGTTAATATCACAATAGCCTAAAAAAAAATCAGGATGGTTAACCTGTTAAACCATGTGAACCCCCATGTCTAATGGTTAAAAACATTTAAAAACAAACCATCCATATTTTTCATGAAAAAAAAACGCCATGAAATCACCATGTTTTTTTCAGGCTTTTTGAGCCCCCCAAACAAGCCACAAGCACTTTCCAGTGCTTCATGCTTCACCACACAGCCCTTTGGGCGCCCCGTCGACCTGTCATGGTCATGGAGACACAGACTTAACTTAACGGGGACATCAAATGAGGATAGAACGGGATTACATCAGTGGATTTTTTTCAGCCCACCATGATAACATGGATATCTTTTGGGGCTATCATGGGATATATATGGATATATGATAACAATCTGAAACTCCAATGATTTTGTGTCCGGTGATGGGATTTTTGTTGCTCCATCTAACCAATGAGCTATCCAACATCTCCAGAAGCCCAACAGTATGGATTGGTTTGAGGGAAAATCTCAAGCGGAAACCATGGTTGTTATCCACATATTCCTTGGAGTTTTCTCTTAACGTTCCCTACAAGCGGGAGAATAGAGGTAGGGGCACAATTGTGATAAATCACTATTGAAACTGGTACCCTATGTTGATTTTTTTAAGACAAGAGTTATAAATATATTCAAAATATGTATATAATATATATAATTATATGGTGACAATTTAATATATAAATACTCCTGACTTGATTGATCATTCAGGACCAGGGGTTATGATGTAAACTTGGTTTAACACTACATAACGCCTGCTTAAAATCATGCTCGTGATTGATGGCGGTTTTTATGCAACTGGGGACGTGGACGTTGGCCAACAGCCAGGTTTCCCAGCATGGGATTCCCAGCAAAAGGAACTCGTTGCCAGAGATGGGACCTCTGGTAATCAAACATGGCTAGCTGGATGATTCCCTATGGATCCCTATGGGGTTTATGATGTTCCCAGCTACCCTCCATTGATCACATTGATCCGCCATGTTTGATTACCAGCTTCGGTTCGGTAAATCATCCAGGCGCCAGACCCAGAGGTGAAGAAGATGTGGGAGATGGCTGAACCATTCGAAGGCACCTGTGGTGCAGTGCTGAGATCATTCTTCGGCCATCATCAACGTGTAGCGTTTCAAGACGTTTCAAGCAGCAATTCTGCTATGCAGTTGAAGGAGCCATGATTGTTACGCATCTCTGCATTTGAACGCCTCTTATTATTGACTATAAGTTCATTATTTTTGCGGGGCTTGACTGAGCGATTAGACCCACAAATGCGTCAAAACTGTGCTTGGTGAGATGGGGATTTTGATCAGCCTCCGAGCAACTTGGCGCCCCTGGCACCCCCGCGTGTAACCCACATGTCATACATGGGTCAAACATGTAATTACCCCAAAATGATCTGAAATGGATTATATATACATATATAAAGATATATAAAGTATATATTTATACATATATAAAGATATATAAAGTATATATATTGTTTTTCTCTTCAACATGACAACGACCCAGTCAGGTCAGGTTGACTAATCTTTGGATCCAAGAGTGCAAGTACTAGCTTTTTGTGGTTTTGATCACTGCACAACCCATTTCTTGTTGATCGAAAGCTAAAAATTGAAACTTCCGCTACTTCCGCTCCCAGTGACTGCCACTACCTTCTGCGCACGGCTGTTTTTTTCTGCACCGCAAAACATTGCCAGCGCAGTGTGGCAAGCAAACAACCACGCGGAGTTTTTGGGCCTGAGGTTGGAGGTCATGTAAGCAGCACTTTGGGCCCTGTTGAATAGCCCCAACAAGGGACCCCAATTCATGCATAGATCAAAGATGATCAAAGAATAATCCAGGATTCGATTGGGGGTACAAACAAAATCGTAGAAGGGATTGGATGGGTACGCTCTGGTATGTTTGTTCACGTAGATTGATGGAAAGCCACAAGAGATGTAGATCATGTTCCATGTCAATATCTATGTCAAGCCAGGGTTGTATTGTGCGGGTCAAAAATCTGCTCGTGCGAAGAACAATAATTTTGGATCGTCTTCCAAGTATTTAAATTGATCAGTATCAAGCATCCATTTTTTGCTCCAAGCCCGTGAACCGCATGATTTTGCATAATGTTGCTCATCTTCAGTAGGGGTAAACCATGACCTAAAGAAACCCATGATTCTCTTCGGATTGAATAAGCCATGGAAATTGATGCTCCTGAATTCTCCATAATTCTATGTAAGTATTTCTAAGTGATTATGGATAATGATTAATTTTCCAGTGATTCTTATGAATTATCCCATGATTATCCACCCATTTTCGGATTCAGTGGTACTTCTACCCTCTGGCAAACGTTTACAAAAAACTATTGAAAATCACCATTTTATAGCTGGCTAAATCAACTATTTCTATGGTTATTTTCCATAGCAAACTCTAACAAATTACCAGGGGGTAAGTAGTAAG